TTTTGTAATAAATACATACATGTATGTATGTAATTGATAAAATAAAGATATAGCGTAGTCAACAAAGTTAGAGATACAAGATATAAATACTGTATTATCTACTAGATGACATCAACATGCATTTTCAATTTCATTATAAATTTTATTGAAAGAAATTCAGTATAATCTTTTAAAAATATTCTGAAATGAATGTAATGCTTTTTTATAATTGACGATTATATTGTTTCTACTAAATTTACGATTTTGTTCTACTAAATTATTTAATAGCGAAAATTAATTCCTGTTACCTCAAAGAGGAATATATACATATATATACATATATATTTCCCCAAAGAGGAATATATAACTATTATGAACAGCTTAACAATTTTATAAGGATTGAATCTAATTTGTGTAAGCCACGTGATTTTGAATATGAGTTGAAGTTATGCACATTCTTACAAATTTACATACATGTTCATAACTTCAGCTCATAGCACCCACGGCTCAAGCATGGCGGCCGCTGTTAATTGTTCCGCTTTTTCTTCCGACGGTGAATACTTCGCTAATTGTGGAAATGATGGAAAGTTAAAAATTTGGGACACATTCACTAGTCGCTTGAAACAAGAATATATTTCTAATTTTCATCTCTCTTCTCCCTGTTGTGTTTTGACCTGGCTTTATGTCAACTCTTCGTCAACAAATACCACGGTAAGCCATGTGCTTTTTTATTTCATATTCATTTAAAGTAGTCAGCTTATTATCTCTTTCGTTTGCGTACCGTATCAGCGTACATGAATTGAAAGTCTTTACGAGTTCGATTGCAAAGATCGACATGTTCTTTCTCTTGCATTAATTAAAAGTTCATAACAGATTCGTAGGTTATCTAGCCAATGTAATTTGTAATATACTGTGAATATCTCAAAAAATAACATTTGAAATCACGTTTCGGAATAAGTATTAAGAAAATCATTCACACATTTATTATTCGCAATATCTTTGGTCATTTTCATAATTTCAATTATTTTAAAATAGCGCCCATTTATTAAAGAAGTTCAGTAAGCTGACTATTTTATTTTCTTATATTTCCAATTAAATAGAATTTTAATTCAGTATTTCTATAAATACACTTCGGAATTATTATGAAATGAGAACTTTTGCAGTGTTTTATTATTTTTCTTCCCCTAGTGTACACACTATATAATAAATATTTTTATGATTTCCAGCCTTCACCATGGAAGAAACGCAGAAAGAAGTCAGTTTCAGAGGAGTCAGCTCCCAAAGGTGTTATTGCTATGGGATCTACAAATGGAAAAATTACTCTTTATGATACAGCCACATCATTAGTTATTAATCAATTGGAAGGTCACAATGGTACAGTTACAGCTGTGACCTGGTCTGAGAATGTTGGACTATTTAGTGCAGCAGATGATCATCATATTATTCATTGGAACCTTAAAGAAAATGGAGTAAAATGCAAATGGAAATCTGGAAAGGGGAAGACAACATCCCTGGCAGTTTCAGAGGATGGAAAAAGCATATTGTCAGGGGAAAGAGTAGTTAAATGGTGGGATCTATCCACAAAACAGTTAATAAAAACATTTACAGGCCATGCTAATCAAGTGACATGTCTTTCTACTGTAAAGATACCATCTGGAAGTAACTATGTAATTAGCGGTGCTTGTGGTGATGGTTGCCTTAGCGTTTGGGCTTTAGATGAGGTAGGAAATGTGTCTTTATCTACCGATTAACAAAATTATTTCAGTTTGCGTGATAAGTATAATAAATTATATAATATTTCCAGAACAAAACTGATAGAACAGCTGTGGCGAGCTTAGCCCTACAAGACGATGCAATAAGCGTCTCTGTAAACATGTCTAAGGAGTCTCAGGTGGTTGTATTGGTAGTAACTAGGTCAGGTCAGGCACACCTGTTTCAATGCCAACAAAATGGTCGTGCAAAGCCATTGAAACCTAGCTTGAGTATTGCAGTAGCTTCTGACATAAGTCAAAAGGATAGTGTCCAACAAATTCCTATCTTAGATGCGAAATTAATGGAAGATCAAAAACTACTTTTGGCATATGGTGCATATCTTAATCCCACGTTTGAGAGGGTGATCCCAGATTTCTCTGAGAAAGTACAATGTTTGGTTCGTTCTGAAAATAGAAAAACTAAAGAGAAAAAGGAGGAAATTTCCAAGGTTAAAACTACTATAATTGAAGATAATGTGGAATATCTTGCACCAGGTGAATATCTGTCTCTTATTTTTATAGCATTATTGTTTGATTGTGATTGTGATTGATTGTTATTATATGATTTTTCGTATACAGGATTAATAGAGACTGCCCCAAAAAGAAGCAGAAGCAATTCTGGATCACAGTTGCTGTTAAAAGACAGATTAGAAAACTTAAGCCTAAACGCTGAAGCTAGTCCTGTAGGAAAAAGTACCAGTTCAGGTAGCAATAGGGCACAACTTTTGCTTCAAGGATTGAATAGTAAAGATAAGACTATCCTGAGCACAGTATTCGTTACAAAAAACGAATCTATCATTAGGAATACTATAGCTAAACTACCAGTACAGGCAATTGGACCACTAATTAAAGAACTGACCATCTTGCTCCAGGGTAAAACTTTCGCGTAAGATTTCCACACGTTATTTAGTTCTCGTATTACTTCTATATATGTTCTAATTAAAATATCAATTGATTTTGTAAGCATTTATTTATTTTGATTATTGATCCATTATAGGAGTAAAATGGCTGTGAGATGGTTGGAAGCATTGTTGGTGGCTCATGCAGGTCATTTACTATCGCAAGCAGACCTCATGCAATCGTTTGGACCGATTCTAAGTTTAATCGATGCCAAACTAACACTCCTGACAGAAATTTCGAAACTAAAGGGCCGTGTTTCCCTTATCACTGGCCAGATTTCACAAACAGTTGCAGAACAAAATAAAGAAGAAGAAACTTGTTTCGTGTATCAAGATTCAGGTTTGTATAGGAAATTCCACCTTAAAATGCAATTTAGCAATCTAACATTAATAGTATCCAACATATTTTCTAAAGGTTCACGGGAAATTGATAAATTGCAATTCGATATTTTTTAAAACATCACTCTTGTTTTCTCTCCTTAATCGTTTTCAAATAAATTTAATAAAAGTAAATTTAAACAGATTCCTCGGAAGAAGATGGTGGAATCGAGGATGAGGATTTAGAAAGTGAATCCGATGAAAATTGGGAAGAACTGTCTAATCAGGATGAACAAGATGAACAAAATGATCAAGATATCAGGAGTACAAACTCTGATGAAGAAGACGTAAATGAAAATCAGGACGATAATGAGTCTATATCCAGCTAAATATTAATTTAGGAACAACTTTTACATTAAACAGTTTTGAAAATGTAATTTTCTTAATAAAAATGCTGTTAAAGTCTGCACTATTTTAATATGAAACGTTTTAATAATTTATCCAATTGGCAAAGTATGATTTTTATTTTGTTCCAGTAAATATTCAAATTCCTGGGTATAATGAATGTGGGAAAGAAATTATAAATAAATGACCTTTTTTACACCAATTATATAGTAATATTCTACTTTCCTCTGAAATAATTTTATTAAAAATCAATTAAAGACAGAAACGAAAATAATAAAATGTTTATAATTTGTGTCATCTTATCAATTATTATATTATATTAAAAGTATCAGAAACCACATCATCAAGGAATGTGTATATATCATTCTTAAACGCTTGCGCCTTCTGCCACCTGTCACAAGGGGTGTTAACCTAGGACATGATTAAAGTTTTAAGGTTAGATAAGCATTGATCATTTATATGTTGCTGGCAAATTTATATAGAAAACTCAAGGAGTGTGAACAATCTTGCAAATTTTTTAAATGTATCTGGTTTGGTAAAACATATTGACCTGGCATTTTTTAAAATCTTTATAATATGGTAAGAGAAAGAACACTGTAAGAATAATTTTATAGTATAGGTTATTATTTATCATAGGTTATAAACTCATTTTTTAATTTAAAAATAAATATAAGAACTTTTTAGTTTTCAGAGTTTCTTTTTCCAAATATGTTTTTTAAATACAATTTATAATTCGAATAATCAAAGTTATATTCTGATTTCTTTTGAAATGTAAATTTCACTTTAGCAGAAAGGTTATCATTTGCGATTTTAATATAATAATAATACTTTACTGTGCCATTATAACAATTTGTAAGGTTGTTAAAATTCAAATATACACGTAATTTATTTTTTAGCCAATGTTAAAACATGACATTGAACTTCCATCACCAGTTCCTGATTTGCTATTGGAAAAGCATGCAAATTTTTTACTTTCATATGGCACAGACAAGGATGAATATGTAAGTAGTTATTATAATTGACCTGTTAATTGTAAGCAATGTAAAATACGAACAAATAGTTATTTATAGTTGTAACGTTTAAATGTTTAAAATGATAGTGATGTTACTATTTTAACTTTATTAAATATATAATGGTGCTTGTATGAAAATATGTAATTATTTCAGATGTATTGTATAACGGAACACATGCGAATGTCTGGCATGTACTGGGGTCTAACTGCATTAGATCTTATGGGCAAACTTGAGCACATCAATCGGAATGAGGTTTTAGAATTCATAGCTCAATGTCAAACAGAAAGTGGAGGTATAGCAGCAAGTTTGCAACATGATCCTCACATTCTCCACACTTTGAGCGCGATACAAATACTCTGTATCTATGATGCTCTTGATGTTATTGATGTAGAGAAAGTTGTGAAATATGTGAAAGAAAGGCAACAACCAGATGGAAGTTTTACAGGTGATATCTGGGGCGATGTTGATATTAGATTTTCTTTCTGTGCTGTAGCAACTTTGGCGCTTTTGGTTAGTATTATGTTAAAATAAAATTGAATAATAGTGTTATACATATAAACAAAATTGAGAAGAAAGGGAAAATTATTATTTTAGAACCAATTGGATGCTATTGATGTTAATAAGGCTGTTGAATATGTGATGAAATCTATGAACTTCGATGGTGGTTTTGGATCAAAGCCTGGTGGTGAAAGTCATGCTGGCATGATTTACTGTAGTGTGGGCTTACTGTCAATAACTGGTAATTTCTTCCATTGCTTGTTTCTAGGACTACTTTGTTGTTAGTACAATTTTATGTCCATTATACCCCTAATGTAACTTTTGCAGGTTGCCTTAATTTAGTAGATGCAGATCAATTAAGTTGGTGGCTTTGTGAGAGGCAGCTTCCATCTGGAGGATTAAATGGTAGACCAGAAAAATTACCTGATGTTTGTTATTCTTGGTGGGTTCTATCTTCGCTCACAATTCTTGGACGACTTCATTGGGTTAATAAGGAACAACTGGTATGAATGTTCACAGAAAATCTAAGTCTCTACAAATTTGTTATTAAATTTGTTATTAACTGTTTAACGTTGATTTATAGGTGAAATTTGTACTAGCATGTCAGGACACAGAATCAGGAGGATTTAGTGATCGTCCTGGAGACGTTGCTGATCCTTTTCATACCTTATTTGGTTTAACTGCACTTTCTCTTTTAAACGCTGATTATCCATTGAAAAGGATCAATCCAACATTTTGTATGCCAGAGTATGTTATACAAAGGTTACAGCTGAAACCTTCCAGGCTAGACCAAAGTGATTGATATTTATTTCCAAATAATGAAATTTTTACGAATCAATAAGAAATGCGAAAATACAACGTAAATCTTTTGCACGAATTATTTTCACTTCTTTATTTAAACACTCGACATTGTTCGTTTTTACAGTGTATACCGAATGTATTATAATATATTAATGAAGAAAAAAATATGTGCTCAATGCAAGTTACTGCAAACAAGATTACAATTAAATGGGATAAGCACGACACTATTGATAGGATGTTAGTATGAAACATATATGTTCAATGAAATGATTCGCAGAATGATAAAATAATTGCTACATATATTCTTATTATCTATTATTATTTATTGTATTATGGTAATATATTACATTGTAATTGTTACTACCGCTTCTGGAAAATTCTTAGTATTTTAATAGGTCCGTCTGTTGCTTGTATAACTACTGTTTGTTTCGGTGTATTGCATTCTTCGTAAGAGAGACCATGAATTTCTGAAAAAAAAACAGAAACGTTAATGTTGTAATGTATTCTCATAATATGTCTAGTTTTCATTGGATGAAATTAAGTACCTAGGGTATGCAAAAACAGTGAAAATGTGTCCGCATTACGAATTGTTCCTGCAATAATGGCATATCTATTGTTAAAGGATAGAAAAGCCTTTAATGCCAACACTAATGCATTAAAAGAATACGGTTCATATAAAATATCAGCTCCAATTATTACATCTGGTACAATCCTGTGTTCATCCAAATATTCATTTATATGTTCCCAATTTAATTTCATTACTTCTACATTTGTATTATTATATTTTGTTTGCAATCCTAATCTGTCTATTTCTGCAATCTTTTGATTGTCTAATAAATTAAGTTTTACATTTTCACAGACCATTTCTAAGACTGATTTGTGGCAATCTGTGAAAATATATCTATTTGGAGAACAGTTTTTTATAATACACAGTCCTGTTAATCCAACTCCACAACCAAGTTCTAAAATGACTTTATTGCAAAATTCAGGTTCATTTTCAATACACCATTTACTTAGTTCAAGTGCTCCCTATGAACAATGAATATTATTACAATTGATACTGCAATTATGTAATAATAATAGAATAATTTTTCATTCCAATAATAAGCTACCTGCCAACAACATAGTCCTGTTGTACCTTCTGATATGATATTTGTACTCTCTTGTAGTGTTATATGATCAGATGAATCATTGCAGTTTATGAAAAAGTGCCGATAATGAATTAATTCGCTTGGTGAAGTAGATATTAAATCACAATACGCAGTATACAAGTTATCGTGAATTTTACCACCCTCTTGTTCAATCTAATTAAAAAGCAGTATCAATAAAAAAATTACACACATGAATAGTTTTTATATAATTCATATTTTTGTACCTTGTTCATAAGTAATTTCAAGAATGCTCGCTGATATGAACGTTTAACAGGATATTTCTTCATTAAATCATTACCTATTGTACTCTTTAAAATCTCTTCTTGTTTTCTACTAATATGAAATGTGTCAACATTTTGTTCAGAATCCTAAAATTTATATGTAAATGAATAATAAAATTGAAAGATTTATTTAAAACAGCAAATAAGAATTTACATACAAATATAACAATTTTGTGCAGTGGTGTGCAACAGAGAAATTGGACCTTTAAAGTGGTCATATAAAATAAACACTTGTTGCTTTTGTTTATTGAACAGTCTTTATTAAATAAATGCTCATTCAGTAAATTTGTCGAATTGGTAAAATTAAGTGTATTTGTTACGTCCTCGTCCATTTTATTAAAATTTTAGTATATACAAATCGTCTCTGATCAAATCCACGTGTTATACACAGAATAGAAAATATTCTATCTGTCAATCCGTCATGCTGTGTACATACGTCATCTATATCAATGTATACTCGGTGAATCAAAATTGATGTTACAAGAACAAAGGGAACAGAGTGTAATAAAAATTCATCTTAAAACATGTGAGTCTACATGGAATTCTTCGAATATGTATACAATTATTTTATTATCACATGTATTCTTATAAATGTTGATAATATTTTTACATTGCAATAATCGATATACATTACTATGTTATCATCAGAATTACGTAATACAAATACAATAAGAATAACTAGAAATCAAGTTGTCCAAAACGAGTCAATTAAACGAAAATTATAGCATGTGACATGCGATCACTGGATTCGACTGAACTTCGCGATGATAGTCAATACATAATTATAGTCATAGTCAATGACCGTAATCGGTGATATGATGATAATGTGATCATGGCACAGAATTCTTATAGAGATGAAACTCGTACTTTTTTCCAGTAACCAATTTCCAACGTGCAAGCGTTCGTAAATATACAGGGTGTCCCAAAAATGTCTCGCAATCTGGAAATGGCGGGTTTCTCAGATCATTGACATAACCTTGACATAACTTCTTCCTTTAAAAAAATTTTCTCCGAGACACCGTTAACGAGTTATTAACGAAGAATAGTGACCAATAAGAATTGAGTACGGTTGACGCGAGGCGGCCCAGCCAACCAGCGCACGAAGCCCAGTTCCGCTCATTGGCTCGGTCGCCTCGCGCCAGCTGAGCTCGCCTCTCATTGGTCACTGTTTTTCGTTAATAACTCGTTAACGGTGTCTCGGAGAAAATTTTTTTAAAGGAAAAAGTTGCTTCAAATGACCTGAGGAACCCGCCACTTTCGGATTGCGAGACATTTTTGGGACATTCTGTATGTACAAGTTCGTATTCAAAAGCGCATGCGTACAATCAATATATACATATAGCTTCAAGTATGTAAGAACATTCAATTCCATGTCTGACCTGATAAAAATAATATTTGATTAATATTCAGTTCATAAAATCGTCTATATATATTAAATACATTTTTCTATCATAATTACGTATCAATCTATCAATCACATTAACTTTCAAAAGCGGCAACACTGTCTGTTTGTGGATAAAAAATTTCAGAATCGTTAATAATCAAAGATTTTGACAGAAGTTCCGCCTCTGTAATATATAACGTGTCATGGTTTCGTTAGAATTTAAAGCAAAGATATGCATAGTGAATTTTGGTTTTATGTACAACACAAATGAAGAGAGACTGAGAAATTGAGAACTGCTGAGAGCTGAGACTGAACACTGATCCATCGAATTGCACCAAACTACGCTGAATTGAACGAACTTTGACAGCTGACAAGTCTTCTCTTACGTGTGTGAAGTGCTGCTAATGTCGCATGTTACTATCAGTTATGTGCATAGATATTTCGCACAGCTTATCAATTCATAATAAATTTCATTAATTATAGTATATCGTAATAGAATTTCTCGATCGAAATACCATAATAAAATGTAATTTTTTTGTAAGTAACGTTGCATTGATTTAATAATCAAACGACACCAGCATAATGGGAAACTTGCATACTTACGTTTTTAATATATTTTAATTGTATTACCTTATTAAGGTGAGTCCAATTAGCATTGTATTAGAGTACCTGTGATAATTTCTTGAAGATTTCTTAGTTACATGTGACTGTCTAATTTAGGTAATTAACAAATTTATGAGAATTCACGTAATGGCCTCAGCCATGGAGCAACAACAGCAGCAGCAACAACAACAACAACAGCAACAGCAGCAGACCACCCTGGAATTTTACCAGGCAATGGCTGATTTTAAAAACATGTTCCCACAAATGGATGACGATGTGATAGAGGTAAAATTCATTGATCAATTTTCATGTAAAATAAATAATTTTATGTTTCCTGTTCAAATAATATTGTATTTAATCTGATATTCTTATCGATGCATAGTTTTAAAATATTTTATATTACTTATACACAATCTTTAGGCTGTATTAAGATCTAATCAAGGGGCAGTAGATACTACAATTGATCAGTTACTTACTATGAGTACAGACAACGAAAATGAAAAGATTAGAAGCGAATTAGAACAAAATGAAAAATCACCGAGTACCTCTAAGTCTCCAAAAGCTGATTCAAGTGTAGCCTTAAAAAGTATACGTAAATGGCAGCCTGCTCTACTAGGACCATTACCAGAAACATTTCTCAGAGTCACGCAAGTTCCAGAAGACAATCATGACTCGTATTCAAAAGAAAATTCAATGTTGGAGGATGAAAGAATCTTTATGTTTCTTCAGAATGAAGAATTCATGGCTGAATTACGTTGGAATGAAGATTTTCTGTCAACATTGGAAAGTGGTATGCAATATTCATATACAAATGGTAATTAATAAGATATTCCATTTAGAAAAATGTTTCGAATAGAACTTTCTTTATTTTATGGGAATCTACATAATATTGCTTAAATAGAGGTGTCCCTAAGATTTAAGATGTCCTTTGAGTTTTTTATTTCAAAGTAAACTCTGTGACCTATACATGTTAATATTTTATGATTATACAAAGTCATTTCACTATGTAAATTATTTAGATTATTTATTACTACAACAATGATATCGCTTTTTAAATAACTATAACTAATTATTTTGTTTTATTCCAGACTCAAAAGTACCAGGGGCGAATCTCGAAAAATATGGTCAAGCTGGCCATGATGATGAAGATCTTTTCAAAGAAAGACTAAAACATATGGGCAAAGGTGAGAAAATTTATCACTTAATGGAAACATTATATAATACATATTATCATATAATACAAAATTATCCTTATAGTGTCTCGACGTAAGTTCGCGCAACTTACCAAAGTATTTACACGCAGTAAAAAACGTGGAGGTAGGCAATTACTAACACCAACAGCTTCTTGTGATGACTTACTGAATCCTGAAGAGTCCTCTAGATCTCAATCTTAGAAATCTTACTGATATTCCTTACTTTATTTAAAAGAAAAGACAACTTCAGCAACTCATAACTATAGTCCATATGTCGTCCAAAAATGTGGAAAAAGCATATCTATATTAATGCACTTAAACAAGAAGCTACAAGGCAGACTTACATAGAAATTGATTTGCTTCTAAAAATTGTACAAATTAGAGAACAGTTAGAAATTCGTTTTTGGTTGTGATATCACATGCAGTAATTAATGTATTATTATAATAATGTATCTATTACACTGCTTGGATATAATTTCACCCACAAGCTCAGAAAGATCAAAATGCAAAATATAAAAGTAATATCTATAGACGCTATACAAGAAATTCAAACCTGCAGAATATTTCGTAT